TATGCAAATTTCAAAGCTTTGCAAATTTTAAAATCTCAAATATTACGCGTGTTCTTTGTTTGACACTAAAAGTAAAAAGTATATAAAGAAACATTTAGTTAGAAACAAATCCAATTAAAAGCAATTTTTATAACGAAATAAAAAAATATTCGGAATGATCAAATAGAAATAACACAAATACCAGAACTTGGACTAACTTTTTATTTGTTGCTCACCTGAGTTTTTCTACTTTCGAAAGAAAATTAACTGCATATCTTTTAGCAACATCATCTAAAATAAAAAAAAACAAACCCTCAATAAACTAAATAACAAATGAAAATGCCCTTCTCTTCCTAAATCTTTTTAATTGAATAAATAAACAAAGTTTAATTAAAACACTCAATCATGACATAATGGAACAAGATGTATTTCTAGTTTTACCCTTAAAAAATCCATATTTGTGTTTGAGTTAAGATTTTTGATTCAGATTTTGGCAAACAATAGATTTTCTTATAATTTGAATTGCATGGTACAAAAAAGGAACTGAAATGGAACATTCTCACAAAGTGAAGAATCAAAAATTGTTTTAATAAATATTTCTCAATAAGTCTAATAATTACTTTGTTAGTTATTTTTCTTTTAATCTAATTTATATATTACTTAAATGCAAAATAATTTGAACTAGTAGTATCTTTTTACCAAAACCAATAGTTTCAGATTTGACAATTTTTAAATGAAAAGGCAGACATATCAAGGAGCAGTCATTTAAAAAGTTATAACAAATGAATCAGGTTATGTAAATTATATATTATGAATGTTGGAACATAATAATCCACATCCTTAATAGTCCAGTTTTAATAATCCAGTCATCTAAACCAATTTAATAGCACAATGCATAACCAATGCATTGATGATGTTAATTTGATTTGTATCTTCAGTACATAAGGACTATACAAAAGAAGTTAACTGTATAGCCATTATCTTTTAAAACTCCCCCAGTGATCTAGATTTTCTGAAAAAATCAGATGGCTTTTAACGGGCAAATATTTGACTTTTCAGAAATATGATTAATTTGAATATATGAGCAATGACATATTTTTCGCTCCTTTTTTCAAAATAACAATAATTGATAGACTACCCTAAAACAATTTGTATGTAGTTTAAAACGAATCTAGAAATGAAAAGTAAATTAATCAAAAGAATTTTAAACACTTCATATTCTTTACAACTCATACTAGCATACTGCGTGTTTTCTATGATGATTTATAAAGATTATGAAGTCTAAAAGTAAAAGCAAATTCGCCTCATTGAAAGCAACTTTCTTTTTATATATCTAATGTTTTGCTAGCACTAAAGTATCACATGTAAATTTTTTAACATTATAATACTTCAAAAAAAAGTCTTTGCAAACCAGACCTTTTTCTGAAAGTATTTAAAACTTTACAAAAAACTTTTTGGAAAGTGTCAAACTACAGCTTCTCCCTGAACAAGTTAGGTTTTTGTTTGCCACAAAAAAAAGGAACAAGATACAGAGTTTAGAAATAAACAAGCAAAGTAAAGACTAAACCTGTGCATTGCTTGATTTGAAAGGGGACAGACCATATAGGTTTACTATTGAATATTTGTCATTGTTAATACCAATGATATATTATATAAACTAGTTGTCTAACTTGCAGGAGTTTATTAAACAAAACAACATGGTATTCACATGATTTAGTGTTTTATTAGAATTTATTTCCTATGCGCATGTTTCCGCTTTAAAACAAGCAAATAATTTTAATGAAAAATATGCAACTAAATGATTAACTGGCCACTGAACAAGGACAAGCATTCAAAATCAGGACAATTATCAGGTTGAAAAAGTTTTCCTAAAAATCAGCACTTTTTAAAGAGTGTTTTAATTAAAGATGATATAAAACCACTTTTAAAAATATCAAAAGTATTAGAATTGGCTAAAAGAAAAACTCAACAATTAAACTTCAGTAAAGTGGTTATCAAACAATTAGAAAACTTTTACTATATAGTTGATCTTGATGTCATCATATATTTATACTTGTTTGTGTAAACACAAATATCTAAACTTGTATATATTTATAACAGTTTACATAAATACTTTATAGTATTATAAATACAAAACATTTTGACAATTTTCATTGTTCAAATTAGCATTTTTTAACTTTTAAGAAATGAACTTTTATAATAAAAATGCCTCAAAATGTTCCTAGGAAATGATTGTACAATTTTTTTTATCTATTGATATCATTGATTTAGACATTTATATTATATTATTATTGCGTTAAGTAAATATTCATATGCAATATGTACATTCATTTTGTTAATTATTAAAATAATAATTAACAAAATCTTTGCAGTTATTCATTATGTCTGCAATATTCTGAATATACATGTAACAAATAAAAATATAAATGAAGAAATACAAAAATTGCTTCTGAATTAAGTCCTTAACATGCTTCAGTAAATTTCCACCAACACATTAGAGTTAAACTAAAAAAAAAAAAAATTAAGGTTTATTGAAATGTTTTACACTTAAGATCTTATTAACATGTGTTTTTTGTTATTTTTTGTTTACTGTATTTACCAAGATGAAGCCTTAAAAAACCTAGGCCTATTTTATAAACAGTTAGAACTAAATCAGAAATTTAAAAAAATTTTATTAACTAAATTTTGTAGCGAAGATAAAATTTTAAAAACATTTGAATTCTTCAATAACATTTTTGTTACGCAGCAACCAATCTAAAATGTTTAAAAATATTTTAAGGCTGGCATAAGTTGTAATAGCAAATGATTTAAATTTATTTTAATAAAATGATTGTAAGTTATTTGCTGTTTTAAAAGCTGGGTCAATAAAATATTGTTAAGGTGTTCTCTACTGTTAAGGTTTTGTTCTCTAACTCATAATTAAACATATTTTAATAAAACTCTCAAACTTTTGTACAAAGCCTTTGGTAACCATTCTTTATGTAAACTCATTCAAATCTTCTATTGTTTAACAGTTAAGTTTTAGATTAAATGATGTGATAATGTACTT